GTTTTGAAGTCCTGTCTAAATCCCTTCTATTCTATAAGCTGTGTGACCTAAAATATGTTGCTTAATCTCTCTGTGATTGAGTTTCCTCATTTTGCTTTTAAGATTTTATTCAATTATTTGAGGGAGAGAGCACAAGCAGAGGAGGGGCTTAGGGAGAGGGAGAAGAAGGCTCCCTACTGACCAGGGAGCCCGATGCAGAACTCAATCCCAGGACCCTGGGTCATGACCTGAGCTGAAGGCAGCCGCTTAACCAACTGATCCACCCAGGCACCCCAAGCTTCCTCCTTTTAAAAACAGGATGACGATAGTGTTATGTCATTGGGCCCTTGAGGGCATCAGATGAATCCATAGTTGTCCTGTATGTCTGACAAAGAGTAAACGCTCAGTACATGGTTGGTGAAATGGCACAGTCTCTTCACAACCAGCAGAATTTTATGTTACATGACCTAACAAACACTCAATCTCCAAAAAATATCCTTTATGCTTTATTCCCTTGAAAAAACATTGGAAGATCATTCCAGAACTTTAGTGTCATACTCTTCTTTGTTCTTTTAAACAAACATTGTGACCATATTTTCAAATGTATATTATCAGTTTTCACTTTAAAATTTATTTGCTTGTGAGCACAAGGCCCGTCCTTTCTTTGAGATCATGAAGCAATTCTTACACAGCAATTCCGGTAATGAAATATGTGTGTTGGTTATAGAGGAAAGGGGTTGAACCTATGAATTCTGTAATTCTCAAGTATCAGGAGTAGGGTGGAGTGATCCCTCACTCCTGACTGATAAGCACTCACCTCTTCCTTCCTGAAATATTGTTCTCAGAAATGACAAAATTTGATTTTTAAAATTGAAGTCTGTGATCTTTTTATCCTTCCCAGAACTTTAGCTACAAAGGTAAATAATTTTTTTCATAAAGGATTTTCTTAATCTAAAGCATTGAAAATTTTTAAAAAAGTTTTCTGAATACAAAGAAACCTCTATACATTCATAGATCTTTTCCAATTATTCATTTTCCACTTCTGTAATTAGATGGAGAAGAGAGGAGGTTTATTTTACCTGAATTTGAATTTCCCCTTTCCTGAAGGGGAAATAGGTTAAGCAGAGACCCAACAATTAGTTTTTGCAATGGGAGGAAAGATCCACAGAATAGATGATACTTGGAGTATAACTTTTATTTCTCCTTTATCTTTTTAACGATTTTATTTATTTGAGAGAGGGAAAGAGAGCATGAGTAGTAGGGGAGGAACAGAGGGAGAGGGAGCAAGGGAGAAGCAGAATCGTTCCCCCAAATACCTCCGCCTGCTGAATAGGGAGCCCAAGGGGGGACTCGATCCCAGGACCCTGAGATCATGCCCTGAGTCGCAGGCAGATGCCTAACCGACTAAGCCACCAGCGGTCTCATATTTCTCCTGTAAATAATGAAAGAAAACAGAAATATTTCATTGTACCAACTTCAGTGGAGAAGATCTTTCCTGGAAACCAACTGCTCCCAGTGTTGGATGTCTGCAGTGGCAGACAGAAAGAAGAATTTCTTTCATTTTTCTCCTCAAAGAAATGGGTTTGCTCAGAGACTCTCTGGGTCTGGAGCTCAAAGCCATTCTTAGAAAATCTCTCCAGTGGCACCAGCTGCCAAGAAGGCAACTGCCTCACACTGATGTCCATTCTGAAGCTCTGGGAAGGCAGCTTTTTTTGGGTCTCAGTCAATATTGAGTAAAGAGGAATGAAAAGTCTTAAAGTTCTCAGTCCCTAAACCTTTAGTAGGCAAATTCTGACACCTCTCAAATGACATCTGAAATGTAACCCTTACACATGGACATTTTGGATTCACAGTCATTCTCTTCCTGAAAATAAAAATGCACCAATATGTATTCTAACATTATAGCACTATCTGGGGAAAAAACATTATTTTACACTTAAATCAGGCCTTCAGACCAGGCTAGGCCATGGGAAAAATTAAATAGAGAATTTATGCATGCAGTTATAGAGTTTGTCAGACCTAGAATGAACAAAATTCATATGAGAAAATTGGTCTATTCCAATCTCATCCTTGGACTCATTAACCAGGCACAAACAGTAAACTGTTATTCTTAAAACCAGAAATATTACATCTGTCTCCTGTTCTCATTAGCCTGTAGATTCAAATGAAGCCACTGTGTTCTTTGGACTCATCCTTTACTGAGAGACACTATTCGGCCAAATTCTGAGGGCCCCTCTCCTTCTCCTCCACCTGTGAGAGTGTCCAGGAATTATGTCTGCATGCTCCTGAATCAGTCTGGACCCATCATCTCCACGGTGTCCCCCAGACCAGGGCTCATGATGGTCTACTTAGGCAGATGCCAGTTGCAAGCTTGCGAAGTCTTCAGGATTATTGCTCTTTTCTATGCTGCTACTCATGGCAAACCATCACTTGAGGATCTGTTTACAAACTTTCTTTGGTAAATGAGGAGGCAGTCTCTTCCTTCTCTGGATTAGCTCTCTCAGCATAGTGGGTCAGCAGCATTGTGTGTGACCCACACTATGAGAACTCACTAAGTTCAAATACAAACCTTCCTCTCTATGGAATAAGGAGACTTCCAGATTGTCTGGAATAAGTGTAGGTCCCAGTGACAGTACACACTGAGGACACTGAGGACAGGTTGCCTACTTACCTTCTCACTTCAGATCAATTCTTTCCGAGGAACCCTACAGTTCCTTATAATTTGTCTTCTGTCATTTCCCCCACTTCTAGTTAATCAGACACAAATACATACTCCCCATTGTAGACAAGGTTCTACTTCTCACAATTCCCTCAGCCACTGTAAAGTCTGCCAGTGCAATTAGGTACAGAGAGAAGTGGCCATCACTTAATCCCTTATCTCAAAATATATAGGAACTCTCATTCTCTGAACTTGATTCTGAAATGTCCAGGTTCTAATCTTAGGACCACCACTTACTAGAGGTGTAACCTTGACAAATTACTTGACTTTGTTGTAGTTCAAGTTCCTCATCTCCAAAACTAAAGCAATTGTACTTAGCCAACATCTCTACTTTGAGATTTGAAAAAGATAATGTAAAAGGAAGCACTTTTTCAAAAGTTCTCAATGTATTTTATATGGGGCCGGAGTCCCTGTTTGACTTGTCACCAGAACACAGGAGTACATGGATGTCTTGCCATCTAGCCCAACTAAAATCTATTTGCAAGAGGGCTGAAGAGCCTTCCAAGAGAGATTCCACGTTAAGTGGAGTATTCAGACAAAAGGCCCTTGACTCAGTAAGGAAATTTTACTCTTCAGAAAGAAGGGCTGATTTTCAGTTTAATACAATGACATATTTTTTAAGCTCAACTCCCACCTGGGCTCAATTCTCCCTAAATATCTAGTTTGGAAGCTGAGCTTCTTCTTGATCAGGGGCAAGCTTTAGGAATAGTGGAATTTGAATTGTTTCTGTTAAGGTACTCCATTTGTACTCTAAGTGGTGAGACCTGGAAAAATTAACTATATATACGTAGGTTAGAAATACAAGATAAATATGTATATTAGAAATACAAATTAAGTACATTCTGCATTTGCCACCCTAACAAATATAGAAGGTAAACATTTCGTAGGAAATTATCCTGTATATTTTATTACTTTATATAATTTTTGTTGAGCTAATGAAAATTATAGATTCCACTTCTTTATCTTTGATCTACAAAAGTACAGAAAAGTACTAGGTTTATTTGGTCACCAGAAGATGATTTGGGGAATTACGATTAACAATGAATTACTACCTTAAAGCAGATCTTATTTAATAGAAATGTCATTTCCTTTTTGGAAACTGGTTATCAACTAAGATGAATCACTAGTAATGTTTACTTTTGTAAATTGTCAGGAAAACCATAAACAAATCACAAAGGAGATGAATAAGGTCTCAAGGACATCAGTACTCCTGCCTGAATTCTTAAACAACTCAAAACCAGAAAATATGGAATTCAGAATTTCAGTGTTTCTTCAAATTCTGAGTGGACAAATGTGGAAGAAATCAGGACATCAGCCTAACTGTTCACAAAATAACTTAAGGCAGTAATATAACAAAATCTTGAAAGAAAAATTAACACCTCCAAAGAAAAAAAGTGACAGTCCCTGTTAAGGGCTAACTGGTGTCCCTTCGAAAATTCATGTTACATCCTAACATTCATGTCTCAGAATGTGACTGTATTTGGAGATAAGGCCTTTAAAGAGGTAATTGAGACAAAAGAAGTCATGGGGGTGGGCTCAAACTCAATATGGCTGGTATCTTTATAAGAAAAGGAGATTAGGATGGGTGCCTGTGTGGCTCAGTTGGTTGAGCGTCTGACTCTTGGTTTCAACTCAGGTCATGATCTCAGGGTCCTGGGACGAGCCCCACATCAGGCTCCACGCTCAGCAGGGAGTCAGTCTACTTAAGGATTCTCTCTCTTTCCTTCTCCTTCTGCCCCTTCCCCTGCTCTCTCCCTCTCAAATAAATAAATAAATCTTAAAAAAAGAAGAAGAAGAAGAGGGGGAGGATATTAGGGCACAGACACATAAGAAAGGAGACCATTGAATACAAAGGGAGGAGACAGTCATCTATAAGCCAAGGAGAGAGGCCTTGAAACAAAATCAGCCCTGCTGACAACTCGGTCTTGGATTTCTAAGCCTCTAGAATACGAAGAAATAAATTTCTGTTGTTGAAGTCACTCAGTCTATGATATTTGTAATAATAGCTATAGGTCCCCTTACACCAAAAAACCTTCCCCAAAAGTTTATACTAAGGAGGGAGAACCATAACTCTTTCTCTTGGTTCTATGAAGTCTCTTATATCTGGATTGTTCTTATAATTTTCAAAGTAGCTTCGTATTTATTATCTCCTGCGTGCCTCACGACAACCCTATTTAATGGATGGAGAGAGGGAAGCTGAGAGGAGAGCAAGGTTAGCCTTACTCAATGATAGACTATCAGCACCAAAGCCTCTTGATTCATATTTGTAGTGTCAGCAGCCAAGGCTTGAGGAGGATAAATATACCATTACTCCAGATTTACTGATGGGGAGAGAGACACCATGTGGTGGGTAACCTGCCTAAGACCCTCCCAGCAAGAAGCAGCCAGTCAGGGCCTGAAGCCAAGTCTTCAGACTTGATCTTGTGAGGTTTCTGCTTCTCTGTGAGAGAAAGGTGGGCACTTCCTCTGCAAGTCAGGATGATTCCGAGCTTCCTCTTCTTCCTTCCTCTCTCCTTGCCAGAGATGCCAGCTTGCAGGACTAAAGGGAGGACAATGGGTTAGGCATGCACCTACAACTTTTGCCAGAAATTTTTTAATACCACTAAAACAATTTTATATTTCCATACATTTTTAACTTTTGTTCTTAATGAGAAAGAAAAGGTCAATCTCTGTATGACAAAAGCAATAATAAGTAATTACAATTCTCTAGCCCTTTCTCCCACACACATGCTATTATACTTATTGGGGGGGACATGGGTTTTGCTCTACACAAAGAAAGGTCATCTAAAGAGACAGGCTCATAAGGGATATGCAGAGATCCATATGACTACAGAGAAATTGGGAGAGAGGGACAGATGTCTAATAAGGGATTTTAAGAAGTTTAATTTATTATGTAAACTATTATGTGCTGTGTAAACCCCACTGTATAATTCCCACTTGGATGTCTTCTAGAGTTTTTCAGTAGAGGCCTCAATCACTTTTCAGTGATTCTTAGAGCTGGAGTTGTGTTTCTTTCCCTTTCTCCTCTCCTTCCTCCTCCTCCTCCTCCTCCTCCTCCTCTTCCTCTTCCTCTTCCTCCTTCTTCTTTACGTCCTACCCAACTGGGACTGGTCTTAAAGTGGGCCAATCTCATTTAAATTACAATTGTTTCCTCTTAGGTTTACTGAGGAGTGTACAAGAGTAAGGATTCCAGACCGCAAGCTGCTGCTAACCAATCAGAAAGACCTGGAACTCCAGATTTCAAAATGTGATTCCCCTACAGAGTCTCCTGGATCAGCTAATACTTCCTAACAAAGGTCACTCCTAGGACTGAAAAGAAGTACCTACTAGTACTAGTCACTCTCCTTCTCTTTCTCTTTTTCTTTTACCATCTATCCATCCATCTATTTATCTGTTTGTCTGCTTAAATATCTGTGTATACATTCTACTGAGAAATTTCTACACATTGACTTGGGTTTACTAAATTTTCTCACATGGAAGTTACAAAAAAAGAAAAACTATCCATAATTAAAATTAGACAGTATGAAAATCAGAGCTCCTGTTTATAGTTCAACTTTCTCCACTTGCTGACAAGTGACTCACTGTCTCTCACCCTCATGACATATAGAGCCAAGGGGTGAAGGAGCTAAGGATAACACAATCTTTAACCAAGAACAAAAAAAAAGTTTTAAAAGTTTTTTTTTTTTATTTGACAGAGAGAGACAGCGAGAGAGGGAACAATCCTAAATGTTCTATCAGAATCTTCTTAGTCTTTTAACACTGTCAGTTCCCATATGTAATATGGGAATCAACCATATAATATCATCCATATAATATGAAATCATCCAGAAACCAATCAAATCCAGCCAGAAATTCCTAGAGGAGATGTGGAGGGTCTCAGAAGAGATGATTCTGAACACTCCTTTATCAAGTACCTAAGTAATTGTCTGAAGATCTCTTAGGGAATTGGTCGCTGTTCACATGAGACTCACTGAGATTCCAGGTAACCTCCATCAGTTAAGGAGTCCAGCAAGAAGGCCATAGTGTAGACTTAGAATGCACTCCACATGATGATGCTTAGGCTGTGACAGAATTGGGTCTGTGATGTCACACACTAGTCAGTAAGTCTTATAAAGGGAGACCAGGACTTGAGGGAAAAAGCCCCAAAAGATGGGTCAGAATCTCCCAGCCGGTCATAGTTACTGGAGTAAGCCTTTTTCTGTTGTGTTGGTGGCTGAGTAAGATCACCCTCTGAGCCACTGGGAGGTAGTCTCAGGTTTCCAGCAAGGTTGCTGGCTCCAGACAGCCACAGAGCTGGGGGCACCTGTTTGTTCTTTATTTAGTAATAGTCCACTTTGTGATCTGCTTACTAGTCTCAAACATCTCTTCTATTTTTATCCTGTCATAAGTTGGATTCCTTGGCTGATGTCCTGCCTTCACCTTGACCCTCTCACCCACTCCACCTTACTCCAAATGTGCTTCCATCAGTAAAAAATATTTCAGTAGAATGGCTGGTTGTTCTTTGGCTGAATTCTCCTCTTGCTTAAGCGGTGTGCTTACCCTTGAATGTCTCCCTGGTTTGACTCATTCATGTAGAAGGATTTCCAGAACACTTTTTGCAGACACACTCCTCTTAGGAGCTGGTTAGTCTTAAAATTATCACTCCACTGCCCATCTTTTTTCCAAAATAGATTTTCTTCTAGGTATTTAAGGGTCTTTTTGTCTTTAAAGTATTTCATTAAGATGTAAATGCTTATTTTTTTAAAATTTTTTTCCCTTTTTCAACCAACATCTTATCAATCCCTTTTTTAAAATCTTTTTTATTTTTCATTTTTAGAGTCATATTCTATCCCTTCATTGTAGTTAACCTTATTTTTGGTGTATATATAAGTTGTTCTTTCTTTAAAATTTTGGGATACAGTTTCTTCTAACAGACCAAAATATACCCTAAATCTCTAGTGTATGGCTTTGTTCTAGTCTCCTGCTTGATCACATTCTCTCCCTTTTTTTTTTAAATTCTCTTCTTTCTTTCATCAACCAACTTCTTCTCTTATCAATTCCTTTTATAAAATCTTTTATAATTTTCATCTTTACAGTCATATTCCATCCCTTCATCATATTTACCCTTATTTTTGTACATATATAAGTCTTTCTTTCTTTAAAATTTTGGGAGGCACTTTCTTCTAACAGACCAAAATACGCCCAAAATCTAGTGTGTGGCACTGATCTGTTCACCAGCCTGATCATATTTGATCATACCCTTTTTTTCTTTTTCTTTTTCTTTTCTTTTTTCTTTCTTTCCCTTTCTTTTCCCCCAGTTTCAGGTTTCTTCTGATTTGTTTAGTGTATATTTTTCTGGGGTCATTCTTACCCTCTCAGCATTTTGTTCTCTCATTCGTCTATTCTCCTCTGGACAAAATGACAAGACGGAAACACTAACCACAAAAAACGAACAAGAGGCAGTACCAACTGCCAGGGACCTAATCAATATGGACATTAGTAAGATGTCAGAACTAGAGTTCAGAATGACGATTATAAAGATACTAGCTGGGCTTGAAAAAAGCATGGAAGATACTAGAGAAACCCTTTCTGGAGAAATAAAAGAACTAAATTCTAAACAAGTTGAAATCAAAAAGGCTATTAATGAGGTGCAATCAAAAACGGAGGCTCTAACTGCTAGGATAAATGAGGCAGAAGAGAGAATTAGTGATATAGAAGACCAAATAATGAAGAATAAAGAAGCTGAGAAACAGAGAGATAAACTACTGGATCACGAGGGCAGAATTTGAGAGATAAGTGATACCACAAGATTAAACAATATTAGAATAATTGGGATCCCAGAAGAAGAAGAAAAAGAGAGAGGGGCAGAAGGTATATTGGAGCAAATCATAGCAGAGAATTTCCCTAATTTGGGGAGGGAAACAGGCGTCAAAATCCAGGAGGCACAGAGAAGCCCCTCCAAAATCAATAAAAATAGGTAAACACCCTGACATCTAACAGTAAAACTCACAAGTCTCAGAGACAAAGAGGAAATCCTGAAAGCAGCTCGGGACAAGAAGTGTGTAACCTACAATGGTAGAAACATTAGATTGGCAACAGACCTATCCACAGAGACCTAGCAGGCCAGAAAGGACTGGCATGATACATTCAGAGCCCTGAACAAGAAAAATATGCAGCCAAGAATACTATATCCAACTAGGCTATCATTGAAAATAGGAGAGGTAAAAAGCTTCCAGGACAAACAAAAACTAAAAGAATTTGCAAGCAGGAAACCAGCCCTACAAGAAATAATCAAAAGAGGCCCTCTAAGCAAAGAGAGAGCCTAAAAGTAATAGATCAGAAAGGAACAGAGACAATACACAGTAACAGTCACCTTACGGGCAATACAATGGCACTAAATTCATATCTTTCCGTAGTTACCCTGAATGTAAATGGGCTATATCAAAAGACATAGGGTATCAGATTGGATAAAAAAAAGACCCATCGATATGCTGTCTGCAAGAGACTCATTTTAGACCCAAAGACACCTCCAGATTGAAAGTGAGGGGTTGGAAAACCATTTACGATGCTAATGGACATCAAAAGAAAGCTGGGATGGCAATCCTTATATCAGACAAATTAGATTTTAAACCAAAGGCTATAATAAGAGATGAGGAAGGACACTATCATATTAAAGGGTCTATCCAACAAGAAGATCTAACAATTGTAAATAACTATGCCCCGAACATGGGAGCAGCCAATTATATAAGGCAATTAATAACAAAAGCAAAGAAACACATTGACAACAATACAATAATAGTAGGGGACTTTAACACACCCCTCACTGAAACAGACAGATCATCTAAGCAAAAGATCAACAAAGAAATAAAGACTTTAAATGACACACTGGACCAAATGGACTTCACAGATATATTCAGAACATTCCATCCCAAAGCAACAGAATACACATTCTTCTCTAGTGCCCATGGAACATTCTCCAGAATAGATCACATCCTAGGTCACAAATCAGGTCTCAACTGGTACTAAAAGATTGGGATCATTCCCTGCATATTTTCAGACCACAGTGCTTTGAAACTAGAACTCAATCACAAGAGGAAAGTTAGAACGAACTCAAATACATGGAAGCTAAAGAGCATCCTACTAAAGAATGAATGGGTCAACCAGGAAATTAAAGAAGAATTAAAAAAATTCATGGAAACCAATGAAAATGAAAACACAACTGTTCAAAATCTTTGGGATGCTGCAAAGGTGGTCCTAAGAGGAAAGTATATAACAATACAAGCCCTTCTCAAGAAACAAGAAAGGTCTCAAATACACAACGTAACCCTACACCTAAAGGAGCTGGAGAAAGAACAGCAAATAAAGCCTAAACCCAGCAGGAGAGGAGAAATAATAAAGATCAGAGCAGAAATCAATGAAATAGAAACCAAAAGAACAGTAGAACAGATCAATGAAACTAGGAGCTGGTTCTTTGAAAGAGTTAATAAGATTGATAAACCCCTGGCCAGACTTATCAAAAAGAAGAGAGAAATGACCCAAATAAATAAAATCATGAATGAAAGAGGAGAGATCACAACCAACACCAAAGAAATACAAACAATTATAAGAACATATTATGAGCAACTCTATGCCAGCTAATTAGATAATCTGGAAGAAATGGGTGTATTCCTAGAGATGTATCAACTACCAAAATTGAACCAGGAAGAAATAGAAAACCTGAACAAACCCATAACCACCAAGGAAATTGAAGCAGTCATCAAAAATCTTCTAACAAACAGGAGCCCAGGGCCAGATGGCTTCCCAGGGGAAATCTACCAGATATTTAAAGAAGAACTAATACCTATTCTTCTGAAACTGTTCCAAAAAATAGAAATGGAAGGAAAACTTCCAAACTCATTTTATGAGGCCACCATTACCTTGATCCCAAAATCAGACAAAGACCCCATCAAAAAGGAGAATTACATACAGACCAATATCCCTGATGAACATGGATGCAGAAATTCTCACCAAAATACTAGCCAATAGGATCCAACAGTATATTAAAAGTATTATTCACCACGACCAACTGGGATTTATTCCTGGGCTGCAAGGTTGGTTCAACATCTGCAAATCAATCAATGTGATACAATACATTAATAAAAGAAAGAACGAGAACCATATGATCCTCTCAATAGATGCAGAAAAAGCATTTGATAAAGTACAGCATCTTTCTTGATTAAAACTCTTCAGAGTGTAGGGATAGAGGGTACATACCTCAATATCATAAAAACCATCTATGAAAAACCCACAGCGAATATCATTCTCAATGGGGAAAAACTGAGAGCTTTCCCCCTAAGGTCAGGAACATGGCAGGGATGTCCACCATCACCACTGTTATTCAACATAGTACTAGAAGTCATGGCTACAGCAATCAGACAACAAAAAGAAATAAAAGGCATCCAAATTGGCAAAGAAGAAGTTAAACTCTCACTCTTTGCAGATGATATGATACTTTATGTGGAAAACCCAAAAGACTCCACCCCAAAACTGCTAGAACTCATACAGGAATTCAGTAAAGTGGCAGGATAGAAAATCAATGCATAGAAATCAGTGGCATTCCTATACACCAACAACAAGACAGAAGAAACATTCCATGCTCATGGATTGGAAGAATAAATATTGTGAAGATGTCAATGCTACCTAGAGCAATCTACACATTTAATGCAATCCCTATCAAAATACCATCCACTTTTTTCAAAGAAATGGAACAAATAATCCTAAAATTTGTATGGAACCAGAAAAGACCCCAAATAGCCAGAGGAATCTTGAAAAAGAAAAGCAAAGCTGGCGGCACCACAACTCTGGACTTCAAGCTCTATTACAAAGCTGTCATCATCAAGACAGTATGGTATTGGCACAAAAACAGACACATAGATCAATGGAACAGAATCGAGAGCCCAGAAATGGACCCTCAACTCTATGGTCAACTAATCTTCGACAAAGCAGGAAAGAATGTCCAATGGAAAAAAGACTGTCTCTTCAACAAATGGTGTTGGGAAAATTGGACAGCCACATGCAGAAGAAGGAAACTGGACCATTTCCTTACACCACACACAAAAATAGACTCAAAATGGATGAAAGACCTAAATGTGAGACAGGAGTCCGTCAAAATCCTAGAGGAGACTATAGGCAGCAACCTCTTCAACCTCAGCAGCAGCAACTTCTTCCTACACACATCACCAAAGGCAAGGGAA